GTTTCATTTAGTTGCCGTATATTTTATGAAGTAGTCCTGAAACAGAACTTAATGTTGCATGTAGTAGTACGGTAATAGTACAAAGTATGGTATTTTAGTATTGTTTCGGTACGATGTTATACTGTATGTAGGAGTACTTAATTCTAAATATAGTGTGTGCTATATGTAGTATATATGGTATAGCTGAATATCACAAAAGTATCAGTTACTTTATGTACTTGTGCGACACTGTTGTGCTCTAAGTGAAATAGAATGTATCAGGTATGTTATATTCTACTGTGGTGCGACAGCGTATTATCCCTTGGAGCAAATGTCGGTACCATATGTCCACGCTGTGTATTTCTACTTGGTTGCGTTATGACTTCTCCTTGATGAGTAACGCGATTTGCATTAAATGTCTCTAAAGCGCTCTATGACTCTTGTTTCCTCTAGAAAGGCACAAATCGCATCACTTCCTGAGAGATTACCTGAAGAGAAGGCTTTAGACGATTTCTGAAGTGGGAAGACTGCGGTTTTGCTGAATTCTCGTAGCGTCGCATGATTCACATTCACTGTATCCGGCCAGGTACTCATTCTGCTTATAGTAGTAGTTCTGCATTCTGTTCTCGGTCTGTTCTGTACTTGGCAGGCAAACAAGTAGCTAGTTGCCAAGCGGGACCTGTATCAAACAAGCTGCTAATCAGGGACGCTCTCTGTTCTGCTGTGTTAATAACAACTGCCATTCATTTTGAGAAAAGTCACATGTCGGGACATCCGAAAGCCGCAGTGTGCACTTACAAATCTGTGAGATCTAATCTGTTGATCTTCCTTAATTGGTTGATAGTTAGAGCACGTGCTTTTCGTTCGCGTGTTACTTTATTTCCCACCTATATGATCGCTTGGTAGAATGATCAAGTCGTCTGAGGGTAGATGCTGAAAATCCGATGTTCAATATGGAAGTGTACTTCTTTCTGGGAGCTGCATAGCCTGTTAACTAAAAACTCTGGATGAACGCATCGGAAACGTTTGTTGTATGAAAAAAAATTATTCCAAAGATTTAACTTAGTTCTGCCTGTAAGACCACTATATTATAAATAACAATATTTGAGTATCATCTGTAATATTGAAACACGACTCCTTTTCAATATAGTCAGGCATGATTTGCATACTGTAGCAGATTGTCAACAGAGAAACCCGTTGTGAGCCACTGCAGTATGAAAAAGACGAATTAATCGTTCAAATGGACTTGAATATGTACATATTGGCTATCAGTTGTGTTTTTGGAGCATTTTCAATACATGTATCAAACACTAGCTATGTTGCGTTGTATTTAAATAAATTGTTTTTGTGTTATATTTCACTGCAGTCTTCTATACAGTAATGGAACATGATTAATGGAACATTTGCTAAGAGAAGAAGAGCTGAAATAATCGGTGTGTTTGTTTCCAAGAAATGGCCCATGCTTGTCCCTATTGACTGGACGGATTACGAAGAGCTTCAAGAGTTTGCGATTTGATTCCGTCGCAAATTGCACAGGCCTGAAGTGAATCTCAAATGCCATCATTTTGGAGTTGCTTAGTGGATATGTGGATCACGCGATGATCTCAGTGCTAGTAACACTGTTTGGCAGTAACCTGTCTGTCTTATCAAAGTTTGTACTTGTAATATATGAAAGTAGCAGCTGATGTTGGACCTAAATGAGTAGGGGCCTTCTGTAAACGTCTGAATGTATTAACAATGCAGATGCAACAGAGAAACAGTGCATCAAACACGAAATAAGGCCGCAGAGTTTGAAACTGTTCGCGATTTCTGAACATATACTGAAAGCGTGTTGTATCATTTGATTCATACTATCTCTTCACTGACCTTCAAATATAATGATTCAGGCAAATGCCTGTCCACTTAGCACTGAGAATATCGGTATCTCTCACTTCCTTCTGTTGAAGCCAGTGAAATCTTTAAGGAGATAAAATCTTTCGATTAAATGAAACGCTGTACACTATGTTTGTGTCGTTTAGCTAACAGTTTTGATGTGATTTGAGTACTCTGAATTACTTGCATAATTTTTTTTAATCGGAGTTAGGGTGCCGTCATTCAAAAGTTAAACATGTTGTTCATTCGTAGAGCTTCTTGTCAGGTCAGGAAATATTGAGCTTTGGTGGTTCTTTGATAATTATAAAGCACAACCTATATCAGAAGCTGAAATAAAACTTTTAGGCTGCGACTGTACGTCCGAGATGACGAACCAAATGGTCGAACATAAGAGACAGCATGAAATGTTCGAAAATGCAAGCCAGTCGATTAATACGCAACCGACATACGTCGTCAATAGCCGACTGTTAAACGGTGTACTCCGTAGGCGCAATGTTCTCGATATCAGACCTACAGATGTTCCTGCGGTCGGTCAGCGCGGCGGTCAAAATATGAAGGTGAGTAATGCTTACGATGTTACGTTACCGTCGGGTTTCAGTTTCAGCTGAAGCAGTACGATCCTCAACAGCAAAATTTCATTCATATGGGGACATTGTGTTCGCCGACCACTTCGTCGCACGATGGTGTGAGTGACGAAGGTGTGCAGCTGCCCCGCAGCCGTGCTGCCCCGTCCCACAGCACCTCCAACAGTAGTCCGGACGGCAACGCGGTTACAGTTCCATCCAGCTCCGACGTGCAAGACGTTATCCACCAGTCTACGGTAGAACTCCATCGTGGCGATGTCCGAGCGGCGTCTGTCATTGCCGATGAAAACGGCGAAGACCATGACCAGAGGTATGTCCAGAAGCAGGTGAACAATTACTTCCACATCTAATGCTAGCGGAATGCAGAAAACTTGTGCGAGGCATCGATTTTTCCGTCAAGGAAGTTTTCTCGTTGACAGAGTAGAATTGCGTTCAAGCGGTAACCGTAATCTCTCATCCTGTGGTTGTTGTTGTTGTCTTCGTTTTTTAAGACCGACAGAAGGTTGTACAGCAACGTAGCCAAAATCTGTCATTGTGTGAAGTAGTTTGTCTTCCAAATACTGTTTAAAGCGATACGAATGACGAGAGCTCGACCATTCTTCAATCTGGCTAAAGATCCGCAACGAACTTGCATCTCAAGGCTTCAGAGCTCAAAGTTGCTACAGCTAACTCACCCCCTCCCATCTCTCCCGTTTCGATGCCGAGCCTTATCTGTTCCAGCTTGGATTTCAGGAAGAGATAGGAAAATTTGTGATTTGCTATACAGACTTGAACTTTTTTTGAAACGAAGCAAAATTTTACAACGAATAAGCCTTTTCCTAGTAAACACGGTAACGATGTGCAAGCCTGCCTTGTCTTTTAATTATTCTGAGTTTATTCCGCTGTAGTGGACGCTGCAATCCTTCTTTTCCTCCCTTTGACTTGTTTTTGAATTACTTTTTATGATTCTACAGCATCACGCGATTCTTCATAATGTTGTAATCTGATATCCTGTTTTGAGCTTCCGCCCAATTTTCATAACATGGCTGTTTGCATTGGAGCAATTAATACGCATACTGCCCAATGTTTTTTGTTCTGACGCGGTCCTCATCTAAGCACCTTGCTGGCGGCATATCGTCCTTGCCTTGTCTTCGTTCACGAACCCTTTGTACCCTTTCGTCCGGATTTTATTTCTTACCTTCCTTTTACTTACCGGGAAGCTTGTGCACACAAGTCGATAATCGATTTCATAATCGTATCGTCTGACCTAAGACGCTCACTAATGGATGTTCGTGTTAAAAGAGGCGCAGAGCTATCAA